CAATCACCAAGACCATGACAAACATCATAGTACCATCTTTAACATCATTACCATCACTTACCTTGGATACATCTCTCGTCGAATAACTCGCACTCACGCGACAGGGTGACATTTTAACGGCGCACACGCGGCAAAGCCAGTATCCAGGGGGCGCTGTAGCTCGAGCCGCGTGCCGTCTCCACGAAGTTAAACGCCAGAATAACGCGCCGGGATAGTGACGTCACGGCATCCGGTTTTATTTCACCCGCGTGGAGAGTCACGTGGGCGTCTAACAACCCTTGGCTGGTTGTGACGTCACGCAGTGCCTGGTGCCTCCCCCCGTGGCCTCGCGGGTATCGTGGATTTAAGTAAAACATAACCCACCCACTAGACGATAACATTAAAGTACGTGCGTGTGCCTACACGTACGTTAGTATAATGTAACGTGCACAGTCACTGGCACCTTCGCCAAAAGCATCTACCAACCCCGCAATTTCTATTGCCATCACTAACACCATCCCGAATAGTATCACTATCATCATCACTACAAACCATTAAACCATCACATCTCTACCACCAACACCACACTCTTATCTACCATCTTCACATTACCATCACTTGCAACACTCAACAAGAAGCAAAGAGCAGCTTGCATACCACCATCAGCACCATTACCATTACAACCACCAAGACCATGACAAACATCATAGTACCATATTCTTGGGTTTTTTCGGTAAAGTCACGTAGGTAAAAAATTTATTAAAATTAATAAAAATAAAATAATTTAACATTTATTAATTTATTAATTTTAATAAAAGTTACATTATTTATTTTTATTAATTTTAATAAATCTTAGTTTTTTTCGGTAAAGTCACGTAATAAAAATAAAATAACTTTACTTTTATTAATTTTAATTAATTTTTTACCTACGTGACTTTACCGAAAAAACCTAAGAATATGAATCATTGCAGTCACGAAAGCTTCAAATCTAGAATCATAGTGCCATCTTCAACATCACTTACCTTGTATACATCTCTCGTCGAATAACTCGCACTCACGCGACAGGGTGACATTTTAACGGCGCACACGCGGCAAAGCCAGTATCCAGGGGGCGCTGTAGCTCGAGCCGCGTGCCGTCTCCACGAAGTTAAACGCCAGAATAACGCGCCAGGCGAGTGACGTCACGGCATCCGGTTTTATTTCACCCGCGTGGAGAGTCACGTGGGCGTCTGTAACAACCCTTAGCTGGTTGTGACGTCACTCAATGCCTGGTGCCGTCCGCCGTGGCCTCGTGGGTCACGTGGTTTTCAGTGAAACGTCACCCACCCACTATATGATGGCATACCATAATGTATGTGCACCTGCAATCGTTTTCTGTGTTCAGTATAATTTAGCGTGCATGTGTGTTATATACATGATACGTTGTCTACAATACACCCCCCCCCCCATTAGTCACACGGCGTCACAAAAAGTCAGACCCCCCTCAAATATGACGTCACAAAGCTCTGCCCCCCCCTCACAAAACCATATTTCCATTTTGAAAATAAAACATGCTTCAAATCGCTTTAAACTATTGTCATTGTAGTGCGTATTTAATGTGGCGCTGCACTCTGATGTCGGAGGAGAAAACATTTATTACAAAGTAAATTTAATTAAGTAGAACGTGTTGTCTATATTTATTTAAAGTTGCGAATTTTGATGTGACGTCACATTTCTCAACCCCCCACCCCCCTCGTCACACATCGTCACAAATGTCTGACCCCCCCCCAGGTGCGTGACGTCATTTATGGACGGCCCCTATATTATACGTATGCGAGTCCATATTATTATAAATCATATCTTCTTGGTTCTTTCGGTAAAGTCACGTAGAAGGGAAATAATAAAAAATTAAACATAATAAAATATTTCTCAACGTTTCGGCCACAACACAAGCAGCCGTCTATGTTTTATTTTTATTATTTTATTATTTCCCTTCTACGTGACTTTACCGAAAGAACCAAGAAGATGAATCCCTGCAGTCACGAAAGCTTTAAATCGAAAAATAAATCATATCCTTATATTTCATGCCATTATAAATCTCAACGTTCATCCTTTAAAGTCCCATCACAAGGGAGAAACACTGACAAAAATATATTTGTTTTAATCTTGATTTTAAGCTTTCGTGACTGCAGGAATCCATACTCTTTGGTTCTTTCGGTAAAGTCATGTAGGTATAAAAATTAAATAAATCACGACGTTTCGGGCGCAACACAAGAGTCCGTCATCAGGTGGGAAAGCATGGTCTGCTGCTGATGCAAACCACTCTACGCCATATGGACCTGCACACTCAATTCCCTGTACAAGAATACATGTACAACGTATGGGTTGACAGGTATGATAATGGATACGTACACATAAAAATGTACCCCTCTGCCCCCGTGATGTCTGCGTGCCGAGTGAGTATTTGTGACGGTTGTGGCACTTAAGAGTGATGCCCACAAAGTTGTAACACCTCGATTTAAAGCTTTCGTGACTGCAGGGATTCATCTTCTTGGTTCTTTCGGTAAAGTCACGTAGAATGGAAATAATAAAATAATAAAACATCATAAAATACAATTCTCACGACGTTTCGGCCACAACGCAAGCAGCCGTCCTCAGGTGAAGAACAGGTCTGTCCTAAAGGAGTTTTGAAACATGTTTAATATTTATTCTTTTATTATTTCCCTTCTACGTGACTTTACCGAAATAACCAAGAAGATGAATCCCGGCAGTCACGAAAGCTTTAAATCGTCGTGAGAATTATTTATTATGTTTTATTTTTATTATTTTATTTCCATTCTACGTGACTTTACCGAAAGAACCAAGAAGTTGTAACACCTCGTCCAGGCAGCACTCTTGTGTGTAACTGATGTCGGCAATATGGCTGCAGAGGCGCTGTAACGTGATATAATGAATCCGCGACAGATTGAATGATAAATGATGTTAATGCAGAGGGAATTCATTAACACATTCCTGCGGAGGGAGCTGGTAGGAACGTTGGGTTGCTCGGTCAATGGCCAGGGTCAACGGCGGCGTGGTGTATTCAGGCAAATATGTCCGACTGTGAGGGCGGGCACAAGCCGGCGTGAGTAGGTTAAACGTTGAGTTTTATACGGGCACCACGGGGTGACCAGCCCCTCCCCACCCAGCCCCACTCCTCCCACTCCCCACCCAGCCCTTCCCCACCCAGCCCCTCCCCACCCTCCCCACCCAGCCCCTCCCTCCCCACCCAGCCCCTCCCTGCACGACGGACGGACACAATAATCCCCTGTGGGCTGGTGTAACCAGGAGGTTCCTACCAGTATAACCCACAATTTATAATTCATTCTGTCGCGGATTCATTATACTGTATCCTGTTACAGCGCTTCTGCGGCCGTCTGGAAAGTTCTTCCTTCCGATATTAGGAAGCCACTGGAACGGTGCACTTTAAGTGATCTGGATTGAAAACTAATTTCTTTAGAACTGCTTTTTGTGTTTAGTTTGTTGTCCTTCCCCCGGACCCCCGATTGGCATGGTTGGATACAATGCGAAAAAAGTTCGACATATATACGTGGTAATATGCTGAAACTTTATTAAGGGGTTACATATTATATGCAGAACAGACTACACCGAGCCCTACAAGGCATCTACTGCAACACCGCACATAAACATGGAGCCAAACATGCCGTCTCACACGGAGTTGTGAATAAAGTGACTAAAGCACAAATCCTAACTCACAGCAAAATTCGACAAGAATTCAACCTGCCCTCTGCTGACATACAATCGCAACATTATCTTAACTCATGAGACAAGAGGACTGGTCGATACCAACTGGGGTAGCAAATGCTGAAGCGATGATGGGCAGAAACCTAAACGCAACGCCATTGTCAGTCTTTACTCTTTGGTTCTTTAGGTAAAGTCACGTAGGTATAGAATAAAATAAATCACGACGTTTTGGGCGCAACACAAGCGTCCATCATCAGGTGGGAAAGCATGGTCTGCTGCTGAGGTTTGAGATACACCCATCTCAAACCTTCTTCTTGGTTCTTTCGGTAAAGTCACGTAGAAGGGAAGTAATAAAATAATAAAAATAAAACATAATAAAACAATTCTCACGACGTTTCGACCACAACGCAAGCAGCCGTCCTCAGGTGAAAACCAGGTCCGTCGAGGCGACAGAGTCTGAATGAAACAGCACACGAGCTTGGAGCATATATATAAGCTGGGCGCATTGACAAAGGAATTTAGCATATTTATGGGAAATGCAGGAATGTGATTAGTACTGCATATGCATGTGCATTATGCAGGATTAACAGCATCAAAGGGAGCTGCAGTTACTGCTGCTGCAGCAGTTGCTGCTGCTGCAGCAGTTGCTGCTGCTGCTGCAGTTGCTGCTGCTGCTGCAGTTGCTGCTGCTGCTGCAGTTGCTGCTGCTGCTGCACTTGCTGCTGCTGCTGCACTTTCTGCTGCTGCACTTGCTGCTGCTGCACTTGCTGCTGCTGCTGCACTTGCTGCTGCTGCTGCACTTGCTGCTGCTGCACTTGCTGCTGCTGCACTTGCTGCTGCTGCTGCACTTGCTGCTGCTGCTGCACTTGCACTTGCTGCTGCTGCTAAATTCCTTTTGATATGCAAATTCCTTTGTCAATGCGCCCAGCTTATATATATGCTCCAAGCTCGTGTGCTGTTTCATTCAGACTCTGTCGCCTCGACGGACCTGGTTTTCACCTGAGGACGGCTGCTTGCGTTGTGGTCGAAACGTCGTGAGAATTGTTTTATTATGTTTTATTTTTATTATTTTATTACTTCCCTTCTACGTGACTTTACCGAAAGAACCAAGAAGATGAATCCCTGCAGTCACGAAAGCTTTAAATCCATCTCAAACCTTTTTAAAACAGTCTGCCTCAGCAGCAGACCATGCTTTCCCACCTGATGATGGACGCTTGTGTTGCGCCCGAAACGTCTTGATTTATTTTATACCTACGTGTCTTTACCGAAAGAACCAACGAGTATGGATTCCTGCAGTCACGAAAGCTTCAAATCAAGATTGCCAGTCTTATAGACACTTTATATTTAGTTTCATATTCTGTCGATGTTTCATATCAAGGTGAAGTTGCAAGCCTGAAATTGCTTGCTCATATCACTGGTGGATGGAGGGCCTTGCATAGAGGGATCTCTATATAAGCATATTCGGTCTACTCTTCCACGCTGGCCAGACGTCTTGGAAGAGGTGGAAGTACTCACACTTCACATCGACATGAGTTTTTTTTGTATCCAAAAAAATTCTTATCATATTCTACCCTTTTTCAAGCTGTTTTATTAAAAGTTATATGGTGACCTTACTATGATACATATTTGTGATCGAGAGATAAAAGTAATATAAAAAATAATTGTTAGCATTTGACACCCTATGTGGTACCTGCCGATAAGCAACTTTTGGGTCAATGGTTTCAACGACCATCAGAAAATATCCATACATGAAGATAGCTGAACAAAAGTTTCAGGGACTGTTGGCAGTGGAGTGAAAGCATTAATCAAAATTGACACAGCGTGGGAAGGCCTCCATCCAGTCATGGGTTGTTAAAGGGCTATGAATTATTAGATAAAAGTAAATAGAGTAGAGAGAGAGAACACAAAGATATTGCCTAAGATTGGAAATTATATTTTACCCATTAAAGGCTGCACAGTGCACATGTGTACAGGCAGCCAGCAAAGACACCTGCTCACAGTACAGGAGACCCTTGAATATCACGGGGTGATCGTTCGCGGTTTCTACCTATTGCAGGCAACCTTTTTCTGTTGCAATTTAGCTATCGAGGTGGTTAGTTTTTGGTGTTGTATGGCTGATACCGCAGTGCGGGGCGGGCGAGAGACACGAGGCAGTCAGTCGCACCTCAACCTTTGGTCGTGCCAGCATCTTGCGGACAAAGACGCCCCCCCCGTATAACCTATTAACAGACTTGATTTGAAGCTTTCGTGACTGCAGGAATCCATACTCTTTGGTTCTTTCGGGAACCTACGTGACTTCACCGACAGAACCAAAGAGTATTAACAGACTGTTGGGGCAAGTGCTGTTAGCGAGCACCTATGAAGGCTGGCACGGCACACGTGGGGGTAGGTAGCCAGCACCACACCCGGTCATGTTTGTCTCCCCAGTAGCGATGTTTACGCACCACACCAGGTACCGAGTAGATAAGCTGACCCAGGGGAGGCCCAGGACCGATTTAGATAATCGTCATTGGTGTTGGGCGTGAGCAGGAATCTAAATTGGGTTGCTGGGTTCATAGCGCAGCGAATTAATCGTAGCACTATTCCTCCCCACTCACGGACAATCAACCGCCAGTCGCCACTAATTGGTGGCGAAGTCACCACGGTGCTTGTGCCAGGCGATGTGCACGATGTTGAGGCCACGTGAAGTGTCGAACGGCCACTGGCAGGAGGTCACGGGGCAGACCCAGGTGCCATGGGTCGACTGAGATGACAAACACACACACATATATGCTCACTTTGGATCATCATCATCATCGGTAAAAACAGTATTTATACGATTTATTGTCTGCGAATGCTTTTGTATCGGGTTTTAACATTATTATTTCAACTACTTGGCTTTTAGTGTATTAGGCATACAGTAGAGTACTTATTTTAATTGAGACATTGTCTATTATTTGGTTGCCGTGTACCTAACCTCATTATTTATGTAAGGATTAAATATTGCATTTTGCGGTTTTGGCTTTAGTGGCACTTTCCAAGAACGTACCCACCCCGCCCCGCGATATTCAAGAGTCACGTGTGCTGCTATCCTGCACGCCCATGCAAGTGATTTTATGAGGCACATCACAGTACCATCTCTCCACGATCCACGAAGCCTTTCTCCGCGTCACTGGGTTACAGAAACGCATCTTCTGCATCACAACCACTGCACTCAAATGTTCAACTGCGGCTCCCCAATGTTCCTCAAACATTGTCCACACACGCTCACCTAGAAGGGGTTTGTGGTGTACGAAGTGGCAAACCAGGATATAAAGTACCGTGGAGTGGGCATGGGGATCGCCCAGGACGGGAATAAATGGAGTGGCTGAGGAAGGCAGTCCCACATGAATGGGAACCAATACCAGGAGGAGAAAGTAGAGGGAGAAAACGGGTTTTGATTCCTTACCCGTACCCCGCCGCACCAGGGTCGCAAATGGGTACCAGTACCCGGCCGTACCCGTACCCGGGTAGGGTACGGGTGAAGCCATGTTGCAGGCGCGGGTGGGTTGATTCTAGGAACTTGAATTGTGAGAAGAGACAAGACGTTGGGAAATGAGTGACAAACAGTTACTCACCAGTGATTCACGGCCTACCCGTACCCGGCCGCACCAGGGTCGCAAATGGGTACCCGTTTTCAGGTTGCCGCTGTGCGAGAAGCTCTGGCCGCACACCTTGCAGCGGCAGGGCTTCTCGCCCGTGTGCGTGCGCTGGTGCGACTTAAGGTGGGCGCTCTGCGAGAACGCCTGTCCGCACGTCGCGCAGCGGTACGGCCGCTCGCCCGTGTGCGTGCGCAGGTGCGTCTCGAGGTTGCCGCGCTGCGAGAAGCGCTGGGCGCACACGCTGCACCGGAACGGCTTGTTGTCTTCACCGCCCGCAATCGCCGGCACGGGAACCGGCAGCATGCGCCGCCGCCGCACCAGCTTAAAGTTCGGCACGCGGTACGCGGCGGCGGCAGGAGGCAGAGTGTCGCTCCTGGACGGTGCCTCGTCCTGCCTGTCAATGTGGTCTTCAGTGAGCGGCTTGGGCAGGTAAGCGGCACACATGGGCGGGACCGTGCAGCCAGTGTCAATTTGTATTTTGTCGACCGGCAGCTGCTGCTGTTGTTGCTGCTGCTGCTGTTGAAGCCAGGGATAGGAGTCAACATTGGTTGCATTCGTTAGGTCCAGTCCCATCTCCTGAAGCGAGGTCACTTGTTGGATGACAAAGCCCGAATTACCTTGGGAAAAATAATCAGAGAAGTCACTTTAGACGTCATATTGTGGATATGTTTTATTTTATGGCCACTGACAGGGCAAAATCAATTCCTTCACCCACCCGCACTGACCAGGAACAATGAAGTATGTTCAAATAACCCCCATGATCTGACCAACGTGGGGTTACCTTCATTCAGCAGCGGATTGACAAAAGGGCAGTACTTGTCCATTAGGCATGCGCGTCTGTCTTTGTCTTGAGGGGGAGCAGTGGCGTAGTGGTTAGCGCACTGCAATACCAATCTGGCGACATGGATTTGATTGCCAGCCATGGCGAAAATCAGTATCTAAGGATTCTTGAAACGGTCCTGGGACCCTCCACCCAGGTTGATTTGGCCTTAAATGAGTACCTGTTGCAGTGTGATAATGGCACTGGATTGGAGAAACAAAGGCACGAATATAATTGGAGACAATTTTAACCACGGGACATTTCGCCGTATACGAAAAGCAAAAACATTCCCACACAAACAATTGAGTGCACGTATCTGCGTGAGAATCAACATTAATCGATGAATGCTTGCATCGTCACATCTCCACGCGGTAAGACATTTGTTTATTTTCAACTCATCTTTACCTCCGCACGCGTCTCTTTCTATCCTGGGCGGCGTCTGGCTGGGGCTGGAGTCTCTCTGGTCCGACGTGGGACTCTGATGATCACCGTCTGAATGGCAGAAGACAACGGACGTGTGGATTAACGCAGACATTTAAAAATGGCACTGCTGCATCTCAGGATGAGCCAGGGGAAGTTCTTTCTCACAGGTGCCCAGCCCGAAGCTTGGGCTGCGATGGCGGATAATTACAGAAGACTTTACGTAGATCAAGTGAACGATCGTGTGTAAACGTGAACAAAACAACAGAAGATGGAAAGAGCAATCAGAGAAAATGTAAATGAACTGCCCTCCCCCCCCCCGCCACCCCCACTTTTATCCTTTCGTCAGTTGAAATAAGACAGACCCAGAAGAGGAGAGGTTGTCACCCCAACACATAAAGCCGCATGTATGTTATATGATTTATAGCATGGTCCATTTCCAAGTCCCCTCCCACTATACCCGATCTCCCCCTAGAATGTTGGCTATTTCCTCCCGGCTCATCTCCCCCCCCCCCCATAAACATAAGCTCCCATTCCCCCCCCCCCCCCCCCCCGTTAGGGTGGGGTAGCGAGCATTCCTTCCCCACACCTATACATGTTCAAGTGCCAAAAGTCCCCCCCCCCCGCCACCCTTGGTTTTTCTGTACCCCTCCGCAGAAATCATCAACACGTTTTATCGGGCTTGTGCGCTTACCATAATAAAAAATGCATAAAATGTAAATTTAAAAAAATGAACAGCAATCGTTCAACATTATTGAGGATGAATTACACTTGCACGTACACGTGGTCCTCCGCACGTGTCTGTTTCTATCCTGGGCGGCACATGACCACATGTGTACACGTGTACAGCCATTTTTGTCAAGCCATTGCTGGAAGAGGGCCTCCACACGCCGTGTCCGTCACAGGGGTCCTTCAACCAACCATACTTCACCGCGCTGATGAGTGCACGCCTCTGAAGGTTTTGTAATGCGTTCTACCACTGGAGTCTGCATTCAACGATCATTTCTAAAACTGTTTGTTCCATCTTCAAGATTTTTCCTCGTCTTAGTTTGCTATTCTACCAAACCTTGTCATTTTTTCATAATCACATCATATTACTAAAACCCTCGTCTCCTCAAATCAGCCAATCACAGGGGGCGACAGATAGGATGGGACAGTGTACACTTTTATTCGTCTTAAAGTACTCACCAGCGCAGCTTGCCTCGGTTTTGATCATGTGCAGCGACGGGTTTGGGCTGCAGTCTCCTGCCTCTGATGAGGCCCGGGTGTGCCCATCATTTTCTGTGTAGGCCAAAGAGCAAGGCACACAAACATTTGGGGAGGGGGAGAAATGAACAATGATCAGTGAATTTTGATTTAAAGCTTTCGTGACTGCAGGGATTCATCTTCTTGGTTCTTTCGGTAAAGTCACGTAGAAGGGAAATAATAAAAGAATAAAAATAAAACATAATAAAATGTTATTCTCACGACTGCTTGTGTTGTGGCCGAAACGTCGTGAGAATTGTATTTTATTATGTTTTATTTTCATTATTTTATTATTTCCCTTCTACGTGACTTTACCGAAAGAACCAAGAAAATGATCAGTGACGTAAGCGTTCCGGCCAGGTGGTTCAGCAGTAGAGCAAGCGGATCGCCATCGGGAGTTTGGGAATTTTATATCCTGGTCGGTGGAATGACTTGGAAAGCAGCTCGGCACGCACGAGGCCGTCCCCGACGCAGGCGCGCAGGACCCCGTAGTCCCGGATGCCCAGCTCAGAGTCCATGGCCCGGGCCACCTCCTCGTTCACGCCCTGCGCCTCCAGCCACGCCAGGGAAGTCCCTGCTAGGCTCAAGCACTGGGGTTGCCATCGCGCACGCCATTCTGGTGAGACGTGCAAACATATCACGTTAGTTGTGTCATTAATTTGGTTAGCTGTTTGAAAAAGGAACTGAGCAGGTTCTCACCTGATGTAGAATCCCCTCTTTATGGGTATCGTGCAAGAAGATAGGCGTGGAGTCTGTGTTGAGGTCACGGTTGTTGCAGGGCTGGGATCAAGGCAGCGGTCACAAGCACAAGCAAGAACATAAATGTGCGAGTCACAACACTGCCAAACGATGCCATTTTGCAATGCTGAAAGCTGGCCATTAACAAAAAGGGCAGCGTGAAATCCCAAAAGCAACCACACAGTTAGCTCTCTGTTGTGTACATACCTTTGGAACCTCATTTGCCAGTAGAAAAATATGATAATTGTTTTTTTACCCTTTTATCTGGCAACAAAACTGACACCTTTTTTTTACAAGAAGTCATGTTTGCATAGACCACAATACCTGCAGTCATAATGCAAACAAAAAACATAACTCTGATAATGTATGCATTGTCCTTGAAGTTGATTGGTCCACACCCGAGACAGCTTTCCTGACGCCAAAAGGCGTCATCTAGTCCAACACCATGTGAGACTAGGCTCTAAGGCAGGGGTCTCAAACTCGCGACCCGCGGGCCAATTGCGGCCCTCGGGACGATATTTTGTGGCCCCCACCTTAATATGAAAGTTTAATGTTAGTGCGGCCCGCGAGTTTTATATTGTAGCAACCCCGCTGTTAGCTGCTGTGTCGGGACAATGTTATGATGCTCTGGTTTCCTACTGTGTGCCTGTCCAGTGAATGCGGCATGCATGTGAGTGACATGGGGGGCGGGGTCGTGTGTGTGTGTGTTTGTGTACGTGTGAGAGTGAGTGAGAGAGAGAGCCGGGAGAGTAAAGAGTGGCTTTGGATGTGCGGAGAGCAGGAGGGTGAAATTCATAGTTTTCCGCTCTCTTTCGCGCAGGTCATGATGTATCCAGTGCTTCATTTGTAAATCACAAGGTGCCGGAACGCTAAGTACAATATGACAGCGCAGGTACAACGAGCACAGGTCCCGAAACGCACGTAAAACGACGCTTAAAACAGCACACACATGCCACTTACAATGCAGTGGGACTTATTTAGGCTATACTGCAGTGACGGTATCAGTCTTTGTGTCAGTGATGAATAAAGATGGCATCTTGAGCAAAGGCGGAAAAAGTGGAAATAACGTGAATTTGCGGAAATTACGTCTCCGTGCGTCGCTGGTTGGCTAAACAATTGACTGAAACTTTATTGCGTGAGCGACAGCAAGTGGAATGAATATATATCTTGTCACACAGCCCCAATCATGTCTTTTTCAAAGCCTGCAGTGAAGAGAAAGGTTGGTGACGAGCACAGACAATTTCAGGAAAAGTGGGAGATGCAATATTTCTTTGTTGAGCACATGAGCACCCCGACGTGTCTTATTTGTTCAGAAAAAGTTGCGGTGCACAAGGAATACAACCTCAAACGTCATTACTCAACTAGACATGCTGAGGAGTATGCAAAATACCAGGGAGATGAGAGAGCCAACTGGGTTGCTAATCTTGAAACATGTCTACTGAGGCAACAAAATGTCTTCAAGAAAGCAACCAAAGAGAATAATGCAGCAGTCGAAGTAAGCTACGTGGTTAGTGAGATGATTGCTAAGGCAGGAAAGCCATTCACAGAAGGCGAGTTTATCAAAAAGTGCATCTTACAGGCTGCAAGTATAGTCTGTCCGGAAAAGAAAGGTCAGTTTAGCAACATCAGCCTTTCTGCTAACACCGTGGCAGAGCGCATTTCTGACCTGTCAAGTGACATTTATGATCAACTGCGTGAGAAAGCCAAATTTTTCAATGCATACTCAGTCGCTATTGATGAGAGTTCAGACATCACTGACACTGCCCAGCTCACAATATACGTCCGTGGTGTTGATGACAATTTTGAAGTGATGGAGTAGTTGCTCACAGTAATTCCAATGCATGGCCACACCACCGCTCAGGAGATATTTTGCCAGCTGTGTGATGCCATTGTGAATGCCGGTTTGCCATGGAAGAAGTTTGTTGGAATAACAACCGACGGAGCGCCATCAATGACAGGGAGGAGAAATGGACTGGTGGCACTTGTTCAAAGAAAACTAGAAGAGGAGGGTGTGGAGGAGGCCATTGCTCTGCACTGCATCATCCATCAGCAGGCCCTTTGCAGCAAATGCCTGAAGTTTGACAATGTGATGTCTGTTGTTGTGAAATGCATCAACCAAATCAGATCCAGGGGCTTAAAGCACCGGATGTTCCGTACTTTTTTAGAGGAAATTGAGTCAGAATATGAGGATGTGCTCTACTTCACCGAGGTACGTTGGCTCAGCAGGGGAAACGTCTTTAAGAGATTTTTTGAGTTGAGAGCAGAAGTGAAAACCTTCATGGAGAAGGATGGGGTGGCTGTTCCTGTGCTAAGTGATCCCAAATGGCTCATGGACTTCGCTTTTCTTGTTGACATCACGCATGAGCTGAATGTACTGAACAAGAAGTTACAAGGCCAGGGGCAGCTCGTCAGTGCTGCCTATGACAACGTGAGAGCATTCTCCACAAAACTTGTGTTATGGAAAGCCCAGCTCTCTCAGACAAACCTTTGCCATTTCCCAGCATGCAAGGCACTCCTGAATGCAGGCACACCATTCAGTGGTGAGAAGTATGTTGCTGCCATTTTGAGGCTACAGGAGGAATTTGATCACAGATTTGCAGACTTCAAGACGCACAGAGCCACTTTTCAAATGTTTGCGGATCTCTTCTCCTTTGATGTGCAAGATGCCCCTCCTGTGCTTCAAATGGAGCTCATTGACCTGCAGTGCAACTCTGACCTCAAAGCCAAGTTCAGGGAGGCGAGTGGAAAAGACGACAAGCTTGGGCAATTTTTGCGAGAATTGAACCCCAGCTTCCCTGAGCTTTCCCGAATGTTCAAGCGGACCATGTGCCTTTTTGGGAGCACATATTTGTGCGAAAAGCTCTTCTCCACCTTGAACTTCAATAAGTCCAAGTACAGGTCCAGACTTACTGATGATCATCTTCAAGCCATACTGAGGGTCGCAACTGCTTCCTCCCTCAAGCCAAATGTGGCTCAGCTATGTGAGAGGAAGCGCTGCCAGGTCTCCGGCAGCAAGAAGTAGGCAAGCGAAGCCATGTTCATAAGAACCGTTCATGTTCTTCAATATTCTATTCATGTTCAGAAGAACCCATTGAAGTTAAATAACTGTTAGTAATGACATTTGAGAAGTTTGGATTTTTTTAGTTTTTTTTGTGGAATACCTGATGCGGCCCAGCCTCACACAGATACTGCCTCCAGCGGCCCCAAGGTAATTTGAGTTTGAGACCCCTGGGTTAAGCTGTGGGAAGTGAAATAGACGAGCGACCAATAAAACACTATGTAATATGGGGATGACGGTTTTTTGCTATTCTCAAAATAATACACATGCAGTCATGCAAATATCTGATTTAACACAGCACAGCAAAACCAGTTTCACCATTCAATTCCGCTCGTCCAGGCGAGTAGAATTCAATTACATTGATTCGATGCGACGTTTCTTATGGGATATAATAAGCGACAACATTTGGACCCCAAACGAAGAGGATTCTGGGATGTTTGTGGTTTTTTGACAATAACTCTGGATGGAATAGTCGCAGACTCATCAAGGGGGTACTCGTACTACTCGCCTCGTCGAGCGGCATCAAAATATATGAGTGGTTAAGCTGTGGGAAGTGAAATAGACGAGCGACCAATAAAACACTATGTAATATGGGGATGACGGTTTTTTGCTATTCTCAAAATAATACACATGCAGTCATGCAAATATCTGATTTAACACAGCACAGCAAAACCAGTTTCACCATTCAATTCCGCTCGTCCAGGCGAGTAGAATTCAATTACATTGATTCGATGCGACGTTTCTTATGGGATATAATAAGCGACAACATTTGGACCCCAAACGAAGAGGATTCTGGGA